AGATATGATACGATGCTACCGGACATAGAAAAAACTGTCCTTTTTTCATTGAAAATTAAACTGTTACAGTATATTAAAGAATACAAAACTAGCTCTCTTTTCTGTAAATACAAATAAAAAGCTGACATGGGTGAGATTAAAGCTAGAAATCCCAATCTCCCAATTCACTTAAAAAGACCATATATAGATATAAGAAAATGTGGTATGAGTGCCAATGAGACATTTCTCCATCCAAGTCACAATTTCTAAAAGAAAAACCATTATAGTTCAAAGTACGATCTTCAACACGGTGCCTTGGCTCACACCGAACAGCAAGCTACAAAGGGCCCCAAAATGACCAGTGCAAAACCATTCAAACGGGAAAACTATGCAATTAACGGTATAATCTATATAATAAACAAGAAACGAGAACAATTATGAACCACATCAACAAACAGCAACTACTGAACATCAGGTTCCTGACTTAGAACAGGTGCAAACAAATGCAGCGGGTTTAAACGTTTTAATAGGTACCAAATTCACTCTTATCCGAAACAATAACGTAACATATGACCTTTAATATTGAAGGGCTAAACTTGCATTGAGCCGTGTTTAGGCCCTAAAACAGAAAATAAAGAGATGTGCATGGGACAAAATCGCTCACAATACATAGAAAAAATACAAATTATCAATGAACAGGGCTTTGATTCCTGTTCTTCATCTTAAAAGTAGCTGGAGGGTCTTCAACGAGGAAAAGAACCATTCATACCCTGAAAACAACAGCCACACACTTGGCTATGTGGATTACAATGTTTTGCTTTATCCTACACCATGGATTTTTTCTCCAGAAGACCTCAGGTACCCAGCTTCCCTTTGCACCTAGTGCGGACAAAAGTATTGCCGTAGATTTTTTTTATTAGCTTTTCGGTAATGGTGTGGTATGGTGGGTAGCTGAGGTCTACTTGAGAAAAAGTCCAGAGTGATGTTCGGCTTAGTCTTTTTTTATAATGTAATAAGCTGGCAAATTATGAAAGCTAATGTCTTAATTGATAGGCATAGAAATAAAAAGAAAACGTATGAAAACCAATAACAATCTACCGGAGACAAAATAACGTTGGTTTAGGCAACTACTAGTAGTATGATGGTCTGGATGCGTATTTCTTCATTTCTGTATTCTTTGATATTCTATTCCATTTTTCTCTATAATTCTGTAATCAGTGTTTCAGGCCATTTTTCTCTATTCTTTATCATGTTTATTTCTGTATACTTTTTGCCAATTATTCTATTCTTTTTATATTTTAACACCTCATTATTCTATTTTTTTTTTTATTTCTTGGTCCATTGTCTCTATTATTTATATTTTTTGCCCATTATTCTCTATTCCGTAAATCCCCATCCACACCCAGGTTCTAGTTAAGGTCACCATAAAGCTTTCAAAAATAAGCAAAACTAATACCGAATAGGCTCCGAATGGCAAAATGATTGAATGCTAATCCCGGTTTGAATTGTGAAATTGCGGAAATTTGTTTTTCAATCAATTGATCAAGCAAAACACATTATCGTCCTTCATGTTCGTATAATGGACCTTGGTTATGAATTCTAATCATCTGAGATCAACCTTTCTAAATTTAAAAGTAAAGATCACGCACCCTTATTGTTCAGATTGATAAAGTCTTTTGCATCCGTCGACATTATCTTCGATTAAAGATCTGATAACCACAGTGACTGTGCATGTATACTTTAACGACCGGGGTAGTTTTCTTAAAAGTTTTTAAAAGTAGTAACCTCCCTTGTTAATGTGATGTTGTAATCAATCTATTTATTTGTACCATCTATTATATATAATATTATATTGTACAATTTAAATTTATGATTCGTTTAATATTTAAATATAATAATTTATTTTTTATCAAAGATATAAACAAGGTAATTTGAAAGGCTTTGATTCATTCATCACCGTAGTTCAATTCATAAGTCGGGCGGTCTATTTTGTCTACATTATGTTGAAAGAACACCGGGGTGTTTACATTGGCATTATTTATTATCAATGACTGTGAAACAAGAAAGGAAAACATTGTACATTATAAAATGAGAAATAATTAAAATAGAATACAAAATTCTTGTTTAGTGAAATCAAAAACGAGAAACGGAAACACTTTTGATTTTCATTTTGGTTTTAGAGAAATCAAAAACAAAAAATGAAAACACTTTCGTTTTCCGTTTTGGTTTTAGAGAAATCAAAAACGAAAAATGAAAACACTTTTGTTTTTCGTTTTGGTTTTTGAGAAATCAAAAACGAAAAATGAAAACACTCTCGTTTTTTGTTTTTTGTTTTTGATATTTCAAAATGAAAAACGAATGGACGCAAATATACACGGACCCTGCAAATCAGAGAGTTATTAACCTTCACAGAATTTTCAAAGCGTTTTTAATTAAATATTTATTTTCTATGAATACAGATGGTAGTAAACATAATAGTTAACTTTTGCTATAACTACAGTCTGAAAAAAATTATCATTCGATGGCTTTCCACCAATGGAACACATTTAGCATGATTTGAGTGTAGATTAGCATTTAACACTTATTGTCCTGAATCATTTCACAAGGTTATGCTTTTCATATACTGCGAATCAAGTCTTCACACTATACCCATAAACGGTATACTGATTGACATTAAAGTCTTGGAATACGTGTTAAAAAGGAGATGTAGTATTACTCTCTTTTTATACATAATTCGAGGCAACAGTAGTTAACTGATTGTCAAATTTTATTAATTCATTTACAAGATACAAATCAAGGTAAACACTGAGGTCATCACATGAACTCCAAAAATTATCGAGAATGGTTGCTTCGTTAGGGTTAGCGCCTCCTGCGATGTACGCGTCAATCGCAAAACAATGGGACAGCTGATATTGTACTGCTAAGATTTTAAGAAGTTGACATTTGGAAGTGTAGCAAGTGCTTCGAAGAAGGACATTCAGCAAACACTTGTCCGAATGGATGGAAGTGTAGAAAATGTGGTCAGCTAGGCCACAAGCAATATGAGTGCAATGAGCATTCGGATGGTGAATATGATGAAGATGATACATATATGACAAACATGGATGATGTCGGCAATCAAGATGTACCCAATGCAAGTGAGAATGAGGAACACAACAAAGACTGTACCGATAATAGTGATAAGTCATTCCAAGAAAGTGAAGTCTATTCCCAGCGCAGGACAAAACCTCTCGTGAATACCGAGGATAGAAGTAGGTCAGATAGTGACAGGGAACATTCGCAATTGATCCTCGGTACTCAGGAGAGAAGGTCTTACGGAAAAGACAGTTCACAACAACAAAACCAAAAACCAAAAAACATAGGAAGTGTTGACAGGAGACCGGGTATCTCAAAGTATCTGACAACAAAACCTAGTCATGAACAAAGCAATACAACAAATAGCACACCAAAACAGTCAAAAACCAGGACACAAAACATTGAAAAATCTCCAGTTACTCCAACAGAGAATTTACATGACGCAACAAGAGATGAGGCTGCAAAGAAGCCGAAAAAGAAGCGCTAATTTGATATTTGTTAAATGAATTACAAAATCTAAGACTAGAATTCTTTTATTATAAATTATAAAAAAAAAATCTAAAAATATGCATTGTAAAAACCATATTCTTCACAAAACTGTATGTATAGCACTGTCTTCATTTATTTTTAACTGTATATTTTATTTGAAATATGTCTTAGTATGCTTGTGTGACATAACTGTTGAAGGTTGTCCACTTAAAATTTGCAGACTGATAGAGAGTCAAATCTATATCACTAATGAAGATCATATACAGCCTATTCTTCATGAAATTTTTATCCTGAAAAAGAACAAAACAAATAAAAAAATTAAGCAATTTGTATATAGGAATAACCAAAATATGTATGAATCAAAGTACATTAATGTACATGTATGTAATAATATAGCAAAGAACTTTTATTCTGAGAGTCTAGTTAAAAACATAGTATGTTGTGTAAAGGTAGTTATTTGTTTAATAACACTGATGTCTAAAATATGTATAAAGCTATACCTTGCTATTACAATTATCTTTATAGAAGATGTAAACCATAGCGCTAAGTTAAACATGCTAAATAAAATAAAAGTTGAAAACAAATTTAACAACAGTAATATAGACATTATAGAATACAAAATGTTTTTATGGTATATATTGTATTTTACTGTATTAAGTGTGTGGTTGTATACACCTCTACAGACAAACATAAAGCGTCGCGTAAATAACAAACTAACACGTAAACATAAATTGAGTCAACATGTGCTTATGTTTATGAACACAGGCACGTGGTTGAGAATATGTAGGTTAAGTTACAATACAATCAAATTAATGTCTTTATCATTTGATAAAAAATATCCTGAAATGGAAAAACAATTAATCCTATTTAAAAAGTCTTCCGAAAAAACCTTGACCAAAAAGTCTATTAATACGATGAGGTCAAGATATAGAGCGAACGAAATTGAAACTAGAGATCGAGTGTACCTGGAACACGGAAGTCTATTTTTTATACAAAATAAACACCATAAAAGTGATAAAAATAATCAGCATGATCATAGGTTATCAAAACTAATGCTAGAGAAGATCGATAAAATAATACATGTTAACTACGTTAAAACACGGGAAAATGAACTGCTTAAAATATCAACCAGGAATACACAAAGGATAAAAATAGAGAATAACGTGAACAAAGCGGTATTACTGGTGATAACAATCTTAGTTATTGACGTGATTGATGTAAATTCAAAATTTAAATACCAACGATTCGAAAAGTTAATAGAAATCAGTGAAGCGTATAATGTCAATAATAAGGTGAAACAAACGTTTCATCAGTATATAAACAGTCTTCTAAATTATTCTTGTGAAGAAGCAGGACTAAACGAATTTAGTTTTAAGGCAGTCAAAAGTAATAAAAAAATAATATCAAAGAACAAATATATAGAATGTGTTATTATTAATGTAAAAAAATGTTACTCACCATGTATGAAATTTAAAATATCCAACTATAAACCACCATGAGAAATTATCTGCATATATGCACGGTCAATGCTAATGGCCTACAGCAACCTGAAAAAATAAATAAAATAGTAAGTTGGGCAAATCAACAAAAATGTGATGTAATATTCATTCAAGAAACTCATTTTATCAATTTAATGCAGAATACATTGAATAAAGAATTTGGCGAGAATCTTTTCAGAAGTGATGGTACAAGTAATTCGCGCGGGGTAGCAATATGGATAAAAGATAGAATTAATTTCAAAATTATTGATGAACACAAAGATTCTGAAGGGAGATTTATTCTGATTAATGTTGAAATCAACGAAAATATCTACACGCTAGTAAACATCTACGCTCCAAATAAATTAAGAGAAAGAAATAGTTTCTTCAAAACAGTTAAATCTTATATAAATAAATATGGATTAGGTCAAACAATTCTTGGGGGTGATTTCAACGACATCTGGTCATTGATAGATACAAAAAATAAAACTAAATCTTCCAAAAAATTTGATAAACCAGTAACAAGTTTAAAGGGGCTTATAAAATCATGTAAATTAATAGATATTTGGAGAAACAAAAATAAAAACCTAAAACAATATACTTGGAGTAGGAAAGATAGATCAGAGGCCACCAGGATTGATTATTTCTTGATTTCCAAGGAAGTACAAAAAAATTGTAAAAGTTGTGATATTAGACCTATTGTTCAAAAACTAACTGACCATAATGCAGTATCTTTAAAAATCAATACTGATAGAGGAAATAAGGGGCGTGGCTACTGGAAATTAAACTCCAGTATATTAAACAATGAGGACTATGTAAATATAATAACAAAGCTAATAATTAAATATGAAAAGGAATCAATTAACTGTAATGATTTGGGGATACTTTGGGATAACTTGAAAATAGAAGTGCGGGATGCAAGTTTAAGCTATTGTAAAAGACAAGCTAAATTAAAAAAAGATCAAATAAATATTTTAGAAAAACAGCTGAATTATCTCAACAAAGAAATAAATAATGGTACCCATATAAATCAAAAATTACAAAAAGAAATTGAAAATGTGGAAAATGATTTAGAGGGCTTGTATAAAGACAAAATTAAGGGACAAAAAATAAGGTCAAGGGTAAAATGGTTTGAAGAAGGAGAAAAAAAATGTGCATACTTCTTGGGACTAGAAAAGAGTCGCCAAACAAAAAAGATTATAACTGAACTATATGATGAAAATGGGTCTGCTACAACAGACCAAGATAAAATTTTAAATCTACAAGTGAAATACTACAAAACTCTCTATGAGTCCACTAACCCTTGTGATGATGATGTTAAAATGTATATTAAAGAAACAGAGCTACCAAAAAAGCTAAAAGACTCAGATAGCAATCAATGTGAAGGGGAAGTAACAGAAACTGAATGTACAGCTGCAATATTTAAAATGAAGCTAAATAAATCCCCCGGTCTAGATGGTCTAACAGTGGAATTTTATAGGCAATTTTGGAATAGCTTAAAAAATATTATTGTCAAGGTATTTAATTATAACTATGAAAAAAAAGAATTAACAAACTCTCAAAAGAAAGGTGCAATTTCACTAATATTTAAAAAGAATGACCCTCTTTCATTAAATAATTACCGTCCCATAACTTTATTGAATATTGATACAAAACTATTAGCTTATGTGTTAGCTCAGAGACTTAAAAAAGTTCTACCATCTATCATTAGTCTAGATCAAACCGGATATGTTAAAAACAGATATATTGGTTTTAACATCAGACAAATACAAGATATTATAGATTATTCTGAGAAATTTAATATAGAAGGAGCAATTCTTTTTTTGGATTTTAGTAAAGCCTTTGACTCGTTAGAATGGACATTTATGACGGAAACTCTAAAAAAGTTTGGATTTAAAACTAGTTTTATCAGATGGGTTGAAACTATGTATAAAGACATAAAGGGATGTATTTTAAATAATGGGTGGGTCTCAGGTCCTTTCAAAATATATCGCGGAATACGACAAGGGTGTCCGATTTCAGCTCTCCTTTTTGTCATAACAGTAGAATTAATGGCAATAAGACTAAGAAGTAATAAAGATTTTAAAGGAATAAAAATAAAATTAGAAGGAAAATCTTGTAATTTAAAAATTTGCCAATTAGCGGATGATACAACACTCTTTCTACAGTCCAGAAAAGAAATAAGTTTGGCTCTTAGCATAATTGAAACATTTGGAAGTTTTTCAGGACTTAAACTTAATAGAAACAAAACAGAAGGGTTATGGTTAGGAAGATTAAAAAGTTCAAAAGATAAATATGAAAATATAAACTGGACAAACAAACCAATTAAAAGCCTCGGTATCTATTTTGGGTACGACAGAAAAGAATGTCAAGCATTAAATATGGAAAAGGTGATAGACAAAATAGCAAAACTTGTAGAAAGATGGTCAAAACGAAAGTTAACACTACTTGGAAAAATATTAATAGTAAAAGCTCTTCTGCTACCAAATATAACGTACATTGCTACTAACAGTATCATAACTAAAGATTATCTACAAAATATAAATAAAATCTTATATAAATTCATTTGGAATGGAGGAAAAGATAAAATAAAAAGGTCAATAATAATTAAAAATTTCTCTGAGGGGGGGTTAAAAATGATTGATATGGAGTCTTATATAAAATCAATACATTTAAAATGGATTTTAAAAATACTACAATCAGGAAATGCAAACTGGTCTGTATTATCAAAATTACACCTTAATAAATTTGGAAAAAACCTGCTCATTTTCAAGATGAATCTAAATAGCACAAAACTTCTAGATAGAAAAATATGGAATGATACACCAATCTTCTATCAAGAGATGATAAAAACATGGATAACTGTAAATAATTATGAAAACAATCATCATGATCAAATCGATAATTATTTAGATATCAGAAAACAAGTAATATGGGGCAATAGATCCATAAAATTTCAAGCTAAATGTCTGTTCTTTAATAATTGGATTGATAGTGATATATTATATATAAATGACATAATTGATAATAGGGGAAATATATCAGAAGAAATAATTATTTCAAAATTAAGAAATAAAAGCAATTGGATTTCTGAACTATCAAAACTAAAAAAATCAATACCAAAACAATGGATAGACAAATTAAAAACAGAGGAATCATTCAAAACTAAAGTCCATATTAACCGAACTAAAATTAAACTTAGAGATAATAATAATGTACTAACTATCAATAATAAAGACATATACAAAATAATACTAAGTCTAGTAAAAATAGAAATACCAATCGGTTTTTTAAAATGGGAAAGAGTCTTAAGTATAGGAAGACTAAAAAATGAATTCAAAGACTCTATTAAATTCACTTTTGAGTATCTTAAAGATAATAAAATAAAAATGTTCAGGTGGAAATTAATGCATTATATTTTGCCAAACGAGGAGCTGCTTTTCCAGTGGAAAATTTCAACAAACAATTTTTGTTCATACTGTAATAAACTAGATAATTATAATCATTTTTTCATTACATGTTCATATCATAAAACATTTTGGAAATCAATGAAAGGTTTACTTCAAAAAGTCTGCATTGATGAACATGTAATAAGTCTTTATTCTCTTGTAATAGGATACAAAATTCATGACGAGGCATATTATGCACTAAATCATCTGCTTAGCTTAATGTTCTTTTCAGTTTATAAAGCACATTATGTTTCTAATAAAAAGGCTAAAATGGTAGACACATTAAGAATTTTCAAATATGAAGTAGAAAATATAGTAGAATTATATAGTATAGCAAATATAGAGATAAGCTGCTTATTAACAAAGGTGTTGAATATTCTGAGAAAAAATTGATGTCATTTTATGGTATTTAAATGCATTAAGCTAATAGTAAAAAAAAAAACAGAGACTATCAATTAATGTGTTAATGCTTGTGATACTTTAATCGTAAATGTACAATGTAAGTACCTACATGTATCTATATATGTTACGGTATGTACTTTGGGTGTGTGTGAGTTGTGTATAAATTTGTTCGCAAAAAATTAGTCCAAATGGTTGTGACGTCTTGAAGGGCTAATTTGGTTTCTTTTTCTGTGGGGCTTAACTACGTCGAAGGAAGGTGTCAGGGAAAAATGATTGGGTTGGTCTTTTGAGACTCATAATTGTTTGGACAAGCTTAATAATTCACCTCTGATATGAAGAAATGAGTACAAAATAAAACAGTATGAAATGTATGTATCAAATAGTTTACTAAAAAAAAAAAAGGACTCTATACTCTGAGCAAAAACTGATGTAATTTTATAAAATTAAGCTGGTACTATTAATAGAGCTACAGAAAGTATTTTTGTTGTAGTACCTGTACTGTAGAAAAAAGCATAGGCATGTGATGCTGTACATTGTACAATGTTGTAATTGCAAAAATATGTATGTACCAAAGTATGTTCCTGTGGATACTTCAGATGCATTGGTATATGTAGGCGTGTGTGTGATCTTTGAATATATTGATGCTGTACCAATGTTTTAAATGTTTACAAACATTTGATAGGTAAAGGTCACGACACAATATTTATTTGGGTCAAATCAATAACGAATCTATTTAATAATTATAAACTAAGTTGTAAACACAAAATTATATTAGTACAACAACTTACCTTTTCGAATCATAATTCCAAATTTTCAAATCATTAAATAATATATGCAAACACCAGGATTGAAAATTGTGTATTCTCAAAATTGAAAGATTGAAAAAGAACGTGCGAGGTCACTGACCGCATTTCGTTTCTGATACATTAAAGATAGTATAAAAAACCAATTCCGGAGTAAAGAATAATTTCCGTAAAAATACCGACAAACTTGTGTAATTATAGATATTGGAATATTACAGATATTATTATAAATATAAATAGTATACAAATTTTGTATTAATAAAGACTGTTTGTAACAGTAATTTATTTATTCAGATATTTATACCAATGTTATTTATTGTTAATTCTACGGAATATTCTCCCTGGATATTTAGTAGTAAATTTAGCAGGGATACTTGATGGAATGCTGTACACCAAGTTTTATTGTTAAAACAGCAATATGTGCAATAAAGAATCAATTTGAGTAAAAAAAAAAAAAAAAAAAAAAGACATTTGGAAGTTTAATTCCTCACCTTTGTAATAGATTGTATTTTAAAGTGGTCAATCTTGGTCAATATCTAGGGAAAAAAATCAAGATATGGAACCGACCTGCTAGTTTCGGTTGTATTCTTAATCTCAAGTTCACTGGCGTATATGAGATACAAGCACTCACTGAAAAGTAGGTCATTTAGTGACAGGACATAATCAATATATCTAAAAGTAAAACCAAAGAACTTAGGCAGATGCTTCATTTCTTTTTGTCTTTGAGAAGGTTCTGTACGAATTGTACGTTATGACACATGAGGAGCAGGATCTGCTTACCCTTTCAGAGCACCTGAGATCATCTCGATTTTTGGTTAGATTCATTTTGCTCAGTTCTAAGTTTTCTATGTTGTGTTTTGTAGACTGTTGTTTGTCTTGTGATCGTTTTTCGTTTTTTGCCATGGCATAGTCAGTTCGTTTACAACTTATGAGTTTGACCATCTATATTGGTATCTTCCACCTCTCTTTTATAAAATAAATGTATGCCTGTTGTGGCGCACAATTAGTACAAAAGTAGTGAAGATATACAAAATCAATGCTAAAAAGCAGCATACATGTAAACAAAATATAAGAATGTTGTATAATGTACACGGAACTTAAAATCGTTTTCCCACTGTTATTTACGATGTTTAACGAATATACTGACGGTACATCAATGGTTAACATTTACTGAACTGATTTTTAGTTTACGTTGTTCTGTATACCATTTGTTAATGAATTGATTTAAGATTTAAAAACTATAACATTTAAATTATAGCGTGAACAATTTTGTTTGTAATCTCTATTTTCACATTTTACCGTTTCTTTTCATTTATTAGCATGTCCAGGCATAGAATGTCTGTCTGGTCAAGAGATGAATATTTCCACGTGTAGCTGTATTTGTAACGAGAACGCTGGACCATTTTGTAATGGTAAGTAGTAAGTTATTATAAAAAATGTTCCTATATTTATATAAGATATATTTGTATAAGTTATATTTCTATTATATAACAGTCATTTACTACTAAAATGTAAAGATTTATCAAAGTTCATTTAGTACTTTAGGTATATGTATTACTTAATCAATTAAATATGAAGAAAGGTTATGAAAATGATATCAGGATGTCAACATTCGGTCAATACAATGTATCGTGCTTTAAATCTGAAGAGATTGGAGATTATGTATGGATGGTCTTATTCGCGCATACTTTATTTACTATTTTCAATTCAATTTGTTTATAATGGAGTGGAATAAATGTCTTCCCGATAGGTGCAAAATAAGTTATCACAATTGTTATTTTTTGAAATTTTAATTTCCATCCCTTTCCGAATCTAGGCACTTTCAACAATACTGAAGTTTCCTCTAGGTTGAAAACGTTTACATTACATTTACCGCTGTGTGCTAAAAAAAAGTAATAAAAATACAGACTCCATACGTTTGTGTGTATATGTAAAATACTAAGACAAGTATTACGTTAACCCGATAACTAACCAGTGTATTTTAAAACTCGATTCTCTTACCAAATCAATCAATTAATTATGTTTTGGAGTAATTGGTTTTATATTGAAAGTAAATTTGATAGAAGTTTGTGTTAACTTTTGGTTTAAAAGTTCAAAATAAACCCTCTATTGATAAAACAAGATAAATGTTCAATCTACGAGTTCGATTTCTGTTCAAATAAAACGTTAATGCCCTGAATGGATATACACATTAACATAAGTGGAACTGATATTTATTTCAGAACACCAATATATATATATATATATATGAGAGGAAAAATAAAATTCAGATGAATATATATATATATATTCATCTGAATTTTATTTTTCCTCTCCTGAGGTCCGGGAGTGGAGAAATAAGATTCAGATGAAGTCTTTCCAGAAATATAGATAACATCACGAATCAGAAGTTATCTGACTCCAATTTTTCATGGCACCTTTCCAATGCTTGGCCCTGAGAGCTCATGTTCATGAACTGTCATTTCCTTTGTTATTTTTGGGGACACAACCCCAACTTACCCTTTTTAAAACTGCTCTTTGTTCGTGACGTATCTCCTCATGCAAAAAACAACAATATACATTTTGAAAATGTTCTTCACTTATTGAAATCAAAATCTGAATCTACACGATCATCTTTTATTAGAATATGACTATTGTAAAGAATTTCAACGAATTTTCCGCTTTATGGCCCAACTATAGGTAGTAGAGATGTGAAATATAAAATATATTGATAAATGCAAACAGGTTGTGAGTTGAGGACACCTGGAATGTACCTAACAAGAAACAATAGACATTTAATTACATGACTTTAAAATAATTAAAAAAAAAAAAACAGAAGAAGGGCTAAAAACAATAACACTCCTCGTATAAAGTGTATACATGTGAGACAACATTTCTAACTTATCTTAACACTTTACAGATACAAATCCTCCTAGTATCTGGCCCACAGGAAGCTACGCACTACCAGCCAGCATGTATGGATGTCCTGAAGATGACTGGGAGATGCGATATATCAATTTGACACTACCAATTTCATCAAATGATATGTACTGGGAGAGCAGTGGAACATTTTACTTTATTAGATACAATGGATATGTAAGCACTTATTCACATTGGAAAGATTTGCACATTTTGGGACCTTATTCCAAGAGAAGTTTTCAGTTGAATTTTTGTGTCAGAGATGGTAATGATTCTTCTGGAATTCAAACAGCACAAGGAAATTTCTGTATGTACGATATCGGAAAAGGATGCGCAAATGGTAAGTTCTGTATGTATGATATCAGGGAAAGGGTGTGGAAATGGTAGGTTTCTGTTTGTACGATATCGGAAAGGCTGTAGAAATGGTATTTTATGGCCTGTTTCGTCTATCTTAGATATTCATTAAGTTGGGTTTTACGTTTTTTATTTGTTTTATCGTTGAATATATATATTTTCACATACCACTTTCTGTTGTGTCTTTTTTAAGTCTTTTTCTAAAATGAGAATTCTTCATTCAGTTAAAGTATTCAAAATATAAAGATTCCCGTTTGATTTAATTTTGTATCTCCATATTTTGTTTATGAATGTTTAAACCAATTGTGTTTGGAAAGTAATACGTTCTTACAATTGATAAATTCACATTTGACAAAACAAACTCCTTTTGTGTAGAGTAATACAGAGATTGCAATCATGTACACGTGTGTATAATGAACATTATAATAGATATTTATGATTGAAAATACAAATAAGGAGATGTGGTATGATTGCCAATGAGACATCTATCCGCCAAAGTTCAAATAAAGTGGTAAGCAATTATAGGCAACCGTACGGACTTAAACGATGAGAAAAACCCATACCGTATAGTAAAAAGGCCCCAACATGAAAAATATGAAATAATTCAATTGAGAAAAATAACGGTCTAATTTATAACAAAACAATTTACGAAAAAAAGAAAAATGATAGACATGAACCAACAACAACCACTGAACTACAGACTCCTGACTTGGGACTAGCACATAAAGAACGTAGCGGGGTTAAACATGTTTGTGAGCGCTCATCCCCCCCCCCCTTTCCCAACCTGGAACAGTGGTGTAACATCACAACATAAGAACAAACTATAAAAATCAGTTGAAAATGGCTTAACTCATCAGATCGATACAAAGTAAAACATCAAACAAAAACAAAAACACAGACAGGACGTGGCAGGGTATATATTCTGCATCATCGTGATAAAAACATTGAATTCATGACTAAATATTAAATATTCTGGAACCTTCGGAATCTTTCTTCAGAATGTTGTCAACTGCCGTTGAGTGGAAAAGGTCAGTGCCCGTTCGAATTATAATTACACTCAGGGACCGTAAGTCAGAAAGCTTTCAGCTTGGTAGAATAATTAGTCATCGTAATGTTTAAACCATACTGTCATTTAGATTTGACAACTTGTACAGGTAATATTGGACCTTGACTCTTCATTTTACTTATGTAACATAATGACAGCTTGTGTCCACAACTTTTCTGAGACCGTTTGCCAGAAATCTTTTCCACTTAGTTGGATTGTTTGTGATCTATGTAGATCAAAATGCCATAAAGTCATTTATGACAGTTGTTTTTCATTCGTTTGATGTGTTTGAGCTTTTGATTTTACCAATTGTTAAGTGACTTTCCGTTTTAAATTTTCCTTGGAGTTCGCTATTTTTGTTGTTTTACTTTTTAGATTTGCCAATGTTTTTAGAACAAATGGGACTTTCACCATTTTTTTATTACTTTTATCTCAAGGTCACCTTACGAAAGCAGCATCTCTTAGTCTGTTTAAGAGTTTAAGAAAAAAAGGTTGGACAAGTTGTCAGCATTATGATTTGACACTATTTTTGCAGGAGTTATAGGACATTGACCATATTTTGGACTATCGTTTGTGTATGCAACTCCGCTGAGACCATTAACTAAAGCTTGAGGTTTGACACTTTTTTCGCGGGAGTAGTAGGACTCAAATGACACCATGCGAACACAACTCCTCTGAAAACCGGTGCCAGAAAGTTTCATAATTGATAAGTGGTACGACTTTTTGTCATTGTGTATAGTTGACTATACTTTATTGTCATTTTTGTTTTATATTTTCTGCTGGAAATATTCTACCAATTGAAGCATGTTCATGCTTTGTGACTATATTCTACATGACACAGTGGTATGGAACATTTCGCTTCGGCGTAGCATTTTATTTATTTATGAAATAGAGCATAAAAGATGTTATACATTTCCATTGTCAAACAATTGAATGAATTTTTAAAGATTAAAAGATCAAAAATAATCGAGTGAAGAAAAGTTTATTCTGTACCTTTATTTATCTTTTTTTTATTTATAAATTACAGTCTAAGCTCATTTGTCTTTAAAGGTTAGGGCTGGGTTCTTCTTGCAAAAGGAGGATGAATGATATTAAAAGTAAAATTCCTGCATTGAATACACCGAAGATGATATTACCAAAATGCTAGACTTTTTGATCGACACC